GGGGGGGGGGGGCGATGTTCAGCATTCTGCGCAGCAGCTATCGGGTTATATACTGGCTGAAACAGAGGAGGAGAGATGACATATTGCCGCAACGCCCCCCGGGTAGCAGTGAGCTGTGACAAGCCGGTCTTCAGCCCCCCCGATCCTCCAGATCCTTCAGCATGACCAAAAACAGGTGTTCTGACTGACTTTCTGCTGCCTGTTTTCTGTCCCACCTTCTCTTTAGCACATCAATCTGCAGTCTACATACTCAGATCTTAATTTAATGAATTACAATAGTGGGTGAAGGTCGAGCGATATTCTTCTGGAATCCAAATGTGGATGTTGAATCATTTGTATGCAGAATCTGTAGGCAACGATTCAAGACTTGTGTGTCAGCAGCATGGTCTGTACACCGAGTAGCATTGACTGTAGTATTGGGCCGTCTGGTCGAACTACATTGAACTCAGCAGGAGGAATATAATAGGTAAAACCCCGATGTTATCATGCATCGCCCATGGTAACACCTTAGCATGGCTCTCTAGAGTCACTAAGATGTGACGTCAAATGCTACCCGTACTAAAGTTTCTCTCTGCTGCTTTGCAGCCTCCCGGTTTTAACTGGCTCCCGTCTACGACTACTATTTGTTTTATTAATCATTAAGTAGGAGATGGAGGGAATAGAGGGACCATAAAAGCCCACAAATGGTGGGAGGAAGGAGACTTGGATGGGTCCAGACCACTGTTTGGCTCCAATGTGAAAAGAAAATCCAGGTGTATTTATTTGTCACCTTGATGCACAATTCAGTGACGGAACTTCCTGAGGTATTTTTTACACAAACTACAATCTTTTCCCAAACATGTCTATAGTTTTGTTGCCGACACCCATCTACAGCGGAGCAATGGGTAACAAAGCTCACGGGTTGGATCGTATCACGGAAGTTATTAATCTGATCAACGCAAAAAAGGAAAAATGGATCAAATATAAAGATACCTGATCTATTTTTTGAGCCGATGGTAATTGCAGATTATTGATAATCCTTATTGTCTTATTAGTCTTTGTTGTTTAATTATAGCAGCTTGTACACACGGCTCCATCCGTTCCAAAAAACCCTTCTACCACTACAAGGTCTCTAAACCATCAAAAATTCTAAATGTGTTCCTTTTACTTTACTTACTTCATTTATCGTGTTCATAAAGACACAATCTAATGATTAAAAAATAGAAGATTGTATTTCACTCATTCAAACCAATTTAGGCATTCATAGTTTTAATGATGTATTTTAATCTTAATACAGCAATTCCATCTTTAATATCTATTTATGTTCCACCAGTTTCTTACCAACACTACATTTTACGATCATCATAATATTCTATAATTGACTATACTGATTTTTACTGCAGCTTGAACACGTCTAAGTAACTGAACTGGGCCTCTGTTTGTGTCCATCAGCCACTTTAATATCTCTCCTCCTCACAATGTAACATTATGAGACATCTGCAACTAGCAAGGCATCAAATGAGTGATTTTCTTACGATATCATACCGTTGTATGAGGATACCTTATACATTCTATTACATCAAATGACAACACATTTGTCAAGGGATGGAGAGAAGGCGGTGACGTGGCAACGGGATGAACAAAGGTATCTTTACTACCTCGGTATTGGAGCTTCTGAGCCCTGTTGTTGGGGCAGTCTTTGCCCTGCATGCTGAAGTTGATGTTGGTCCGGATGCAGCGGTTATTCAGCGGCTGGACGGGGCGAACGTTGTCGCTCATGCTCAGGAAGATCTGAGACGGCTGGTTCTGGCTCAGCAGCCGCAAGGAATGCATCTAAGATGACAGGGAGAGAAAAGGAGCTTGTTAAAAGTCGTCCAAAGGATCACGGAGATGTGATTTTGATCCAGTGCATTATTAGGTGGTAGTGCTGGAGTTAAAGACTCACTACAGGGGGACATGTTTCACAGGCAGAATAAAAGTAAGAGGCTCACCTGCATGCGTGTGAGGTAAACCGGCTTGTTCATCAGGATCCACGTGGCGGTCTCAAAGCATGGAGGGATGGTCATGGATCCCTCATACGTGATGAAACTAATAGTCTCAGGGTAAATCTCCTCTATGTTCAGGTTGGTCAGTAGATATGCGTCATCTGCAGAAAGAAAGGCAGAAAACAAAAATAATTAGGGGCTTTTTCTTCAGAGGATGTACTCTGTGTTCCAATTGGTACCAACATTGTAGGATTCCCTAAAAGAAAAAAAAAAGTAGAAAGAACAAAGTGCCGATGGCGGTGCACATAATGGTGATGGGGGGTGAGAGAGAGATAGAGGGACAGGAGCAGAAGAGATCTGAACTTTAGCTGAGGACACAATAAGAAAATGTACAGCAAAATAACAAATCAGGTAGGAGTAGAAGTTTCAAGTAGAAGTTTAGCAGTTTCTGTGAATATCCGCTCTATGTTAAGGTGTGTTTTGGTTTCCATCGACTCCGGAGTGAGACATGAGACATCAGTACACTCATGGGCCGGACAGAAGATCAATGGGCCGTAACTCACAGCTGCAGAATCAGGACCCTGGACAACAAGCATCCCACTTTGTCACGTCATTGTACCTTTGTCGTTTGATACATTGCGATGTAAATGTAAATTTAACCTTTTAGGTTTAAGTGGTTCACATTTTATTTTTGTGCATAACCTATGTAATATATTTTGAACATTGACGATTTTTGGTGGTATAAACTCAAGGCCTCCACTACTCATAAAGACATGAGCTCATCTTTCATAGCTAACAATTCCCTCACTTCTTATTTCACATATCGTTTAGTGTTCTGTGAATGACAGGCTGTTGGTGTTGCTCAAAACCTCTTTTATTTAAACTGTCTTCACTGTCAGGACGCTAATTAGAAAGACTGCAACTCTATTTCTTCACACTCCAGTAGCACGCTCTCAATAGCTTGTCATCTGTTGGTCCTCTGTTGACAAATAGTCTATCATAATGAGGTCATTGTGGTGGACCACTGGGGCTTTTGTGCTTATTCAGCTGTACTTTACATCACTGTTAAATGATCCCCCTTGTATATTAATCCAAATAACAAAATGAAAAGATATTTGAGAATACCTTTGTAAAAAAGGATCTTCTTTGATCCTCCTCGCATGAGAAGAGATGCTCTGTTGCTGATGTTTGATCATGTGTTTGACATAAATAATTCTCTTTTGTTGGTGTCTATCTGCTTTTGTGTTAGCATTTTTCTACATATTTGATAAAAAATATGCCCCTCACTGCGCACTTTTAACACAATAATGGGTCTCTTTTATTCGGGCTATCTTCCAGCGGATGGGGCCTCTCGGGTAAGGCAGGCCTGGCAGAGGGAAACCTCTGGAGAGCGTCTGTCAACATCTACCTAACATTGTGCCTCGCAAACAGCCTCTTACAGCAGCTATCTCCACACCCTGCTCCATCCATTCAGTTAGCACGTTGAAATAATGGGATACAAAGTATACGAGTATACAAATAAACTTGTACACATGACATCCATTTTTGGCCTAGTTATGGTTATGGCCCAGATTTTGAGGAGGTCTGCCTGGTGCTGTTGTCGGGGAGATACAGATTCAAAAGTGTATTTTTCCGCTCTAGGCGGCTTACAATTATAGTAGTGGCATAACCAAGCGTTACTTGGAAGTACAGTTATGATTCAAATCCCTAATGTGTTGGGTTGAAAATAATCCCAGTTCATAATTACATCCACTGTGTAGTATTCCTTCACAATAAGGTGCCCGTGCCTGATACTACTAGCGTCACGATTTCCTAAACCAGACGCGCTAGCTAATATTTATGATACGCTATGTAACACAAGTCAAAGAATTTACATTGTAAATTAATATACATAAATATATATGAGCGGCGGCAATAAGAACACTCAGGCGACGCTTGACCGTTGATACTCGGAGAAGATATCCTGTACTTTGAAGGAGGTTTTGTTGGGAGTGTGATAACTCATTTTAAATGATAGAACTAGGGTCCCGAATATGTTGACAGCATTGATGGTGATTTTGCTATCTGAACAGTATTTAGCTTGAAAGGTAAGAAGTAACATTTTTGGTGGCGATGGACAAATTAAATTACAGTGAAAAGAGTGGAAAGTGCTTCGGCCAATGACAGCGAGTGCGTCCGGGTGGGGAAATAGTAACGTCAAGTCTAACATCAGCAACTCGATTGCAATTAAGGGAAATTCACTCCAAACACCCTTATTTGAATTTATTATTACAGCTAATCAGCCAACCAACATTAGCCAGTATTTGAAATAAAAGTATTTTGTCTTGCAATAACAGCCGTATCAATTAAAAACATGTTCCAAATGACTCGTGAAGCTATAGTTAGCTTAAATAGCGATCTAGCTAATGAGCTACAGCTAATAAAACCTTCCAGTGGCGGTTGCCTTTTCAGCTGACAAAATGGACAGTAGAGCATGAATGGATAACTTCTTTTGTCTACTGATGTCTGAATATGAAAGAGAATTTGTTTCAAACATTTCTAAGAATTCCTGTGTGCTATGTAATGCAAAATGGGTCTATCAACAGTGAGGGGACAATTCTAAAGTAAGCGTTACTTGGTGTTTCAAGGTGAACTAATACAGATAATAAGTGCTTCATATGGACACTTACTTTTGTATGTTATTCTTGTGATGGTGTCTCTGTTCAGCATTCGATTCAGGAATGAGTTAGCGGTTTCAGCAATCTGGATTAAAAGACATAAAAAGTGAGGTTAAATAACAAAAACAACCTTTAGTCTGGTCTCCAGAGCTGAATGTGATAAGAACACTGCCAGTGAAGCTGCAACATGTTATCTTCCACTTCCACTCATTTTTTTATATTGAATATACATTTTTTAAACAAATTCTTACTGCAAATAAAATATTTGAACCGTAACTATGAATTTGGCGAGGCAGCATCAAGACCAGCAACTTTCTTTCCTCCCTCTAGCAGATTGTCAATATTCCATATACACTTTGTACTCAAGCTCTTTGCTATTCCTCACTGTTCCTTTGGAAACTGTGGCTGCCTGCCAGGTACCGTGCCACCTTTTCCCATGCTTCCTGCCTTTCCCATATCTGGTTATTTTTCCTTTTGGACCTCCCTCTTGTCGCTGACCTTTAAGCCTGGTGTATGTTTTGCATTGATCAGATTGCAAAACTATTGTGTTAGAAGTACACATGTAAATGATCACAAACTCCCATGGTGGTCAGATGCATATTCAACACAAGAGTAAATGTAATTGTGCAACAGGTAGCCATTAAGATGACATTCCTTTTAGAACAGCAGTGCAGAGTTTCAGGACAGTAAAGCTGTAACATAAGCACTGCAAGTGAACAGATAATTGGTTGAAAGGGGGAACTGACAACGGAAGGAACGAAACAAGCAGAAAAGCACACCAACTGCTATATAGTAGAATGGACTGGGAGCTGTTTATTGTGTGGATTTTCCATTAGATGCAGCGGAAACACGTTTTGCTAATAACAAACATCCAAAATATTGAACATCATGGATGTTCAATATTTCTTCCATGATGTTCATGATATTTTGAACATCATGGAAGAAATCCAATTGAAGCCTGCTTTCAACCACAATATAAGACTTTATTGCAAATAAAGTGTAATCAATCTCAGATGGAAATAAGATTAGTCAACTATTGGGGAAATATCAAGACTAGGGCATGTAAATGACTAGGAAGCCTATTTAGAGTTACTTAAAACACCTGGTCAAGGTAATGGAGAAACCATGGGTACAAATGGTGCTAACATCGGGGAATGTTAATCACAGGTTAGAGAGGGGACACAAACTCAGTTTCTCCAGCGTGAAAGTCAGACTCACTTTGACTTTATGGTACTAGTTATCCAACACTGACATCTACACCCTAACTGTGCATCTCACATCTTAAAAGGCAAGCGACTTTGTGCATTAGCAGGAACCTTGAATGGTTAGCAAAGGTCATCGGGCTGGATAGTAAGCCTCAATCGGTGGAACAGAGTTCAGGTTAAGGTCACGTGAGGATACATAGGGCTAAATGTAATGGTTGAGGTTAAGCACGGCCTCAAATGACTAACGTAAGGATACTTCTTCTGGCTTTATTGTTATGCTGTCAGTCCAGCAGCTCCCCCTGTGTTTTTTGTTCGCTTTGCCTGTGTTTCCCGTCTCTGCAAGGAGTACACCTCCTTGCAGTCTCCTGTTCTCCTCGAAGGGTGTGGCTGGAACAGCTGACGCCAATCAGCCATCAGGGGACTCCCCTACATCAACCCGGGTCTTCTTACCATTCATTGCCAGATCGTTCCGTCGTCAGAGTGGTAGATAAGCATTCAGGCCAACTGGTTACTAGTGTGGATTAGATACTGTCTTTGCTCACCTTGTCCAGTCTTTTGGCCTAGAGCTCCGGCATCCCCACCTGCCTGCTGGCTGGCTCTCCGAGGCCAGTTCCCACTCCAGGCTCAACCCTGCCCTGTGCACCTTTTGTGTGTGTGTCTGAATACACCCATTATTTCCCAGAAAAAACCTCCCCTGTGGCTCCTGTGTGCTGCGCTTGGGTCCACAACCATTCCATCCCTAGCCACCATGACATTTCTGTGATCTATTTCATATAACACACATATTGAGTACAAACCTACTGAAACTGCAGCCCAATAACTTCCATTGGAGCCAATTTTAATTCCTTACTCCACTCATGCGCTGCTCTCTTTCTCAATTCCTAGACATGCTTGCTAATAACTGAAGGAAGATGCTCACACTCCATATCCAGCCTTGACTCCTCTCTGCCTTCCTCTCCACTTCATCTTTCCCTCATTCGTGCTTGGTGGACTTCACAACTCTAATAGTCAGAATGTCTTTGGGCGAAGTGATTAGAAAGAGATGTGGTGTCTCTCCCCTCCCCACACTGCCACTGGAATGGCTTATTCTCTAACCAATTCTCTGTGCTCTTAAAGCAGGCATTATGCTTTTACCATTCACTCATGCTGCTCAGTATTTTCCCTACTTTCTGCCTCTTTCATTTTTCAAATTTCTTTGAAAATCACCCAAAGGGGTTTCTATTACTCCCGAAATTGTATTAGAAAAGTAGAAATGTACAAATGATAATTAGACACACAAGAAATATATATTTCTTGATGTTACACAATTTGACAACCTGATGAGTGAATGAGTGAGTGAAATGGCCTTGCTTTGACAGAAAAGCAGATCCCGCCGTGTTTCTCTATTGTGCGTCTGTGTTCCACTGTACCCCCCACCCAGCTGCGACCACCAACTGCTCTACTTAATGGTGCCTCACAACTCCATGCCTAGATTGGGGACTCTGCTGGTATTATGAATCACAGCAATAGGATCAGAAAACTTGGCCTTGAAATTCACTGAAAAGCGGCAAAAAAAAGATTATACTCAGAAAATCGATTTGGTTTATCTCCACCTGTCTGCTTGGGGTTACTATCAGGGTTTGACATTAGCACTTGCCCACCAGCCAAATGCGGGTAGAATTGCGGCTGTGGCAAGTGAAGCTCTTACCAGCCACTTTGGGGGGTGGAATCTCTCAATTTTTTCATCGTATTTTTCATTGTGTAACGGACTGTCTCATGTTTCAGTGTTTTGCGTTTGAGATAATATGTCCTTTCAGTGTTGCCGTAGAGGCAAAAGGGGTTCCCACCCTGGAGGTTGAGGGGTGAAGGCGGTTATTAATGTGTCATAACTGCATCGTCCATGAACCGAGAACGCGTGTTTTTATTGTTGGCAGCAGTGGTTCTTGTGCACTGACTACAGAATGCAACGACTATTTTGTGTGCACTTGGTTCAGCTTTGCTGTCTTGGTTTAGCTAGCGGACTAAATCTGCGGCACTACAGAGACCTAAGCGCCGCCGGTTCAAGATGCGGCTTGGAGATGAAGACCCGTTTAAGTCCAGCAGAGATACACATGTGGACTGGCCTGCTCCGTTTTTTAGCGACGGTAGTTTCCTCGGCTGGATGAAACTCCGTTACAGTAGTCTTCTCAAAAGACATCTAGAATAATAAATGTATTGCAGAGTTCTGAAGCCTCACATCTTGCACATACGCCTGTCACTTGTCACTGTCACATTCACAGACCATTGTGTAGTGTGTATGTTATCTGTTGATGAAACCGAAAATGAAGGGAAGACAAAGAATAAGAAAAGACTGTTCAACGAAAAGTAGAGGTCCAGTCGAGAACGGTAGTCTATGATCCAGCCAAGAAAATGATTGCGATTGTACTAAACTGATTAAAGGACGTACATGAGCCAAAAGGTTAAGGAGGTTTCTTTTGTAGTTGGGACAAGCAATTTCAAACTTACTGTACATTGATTGTTGATTTGTTTACATGGTCATTTTCAGTTGAAAGGATTGTAAATCTAGTTCTTTAGTAAATAAAGTAAATTATAAACCGTAAACCACTAGCTGCAGTGGCTGGTGAGTAAAATGTTAACGTCAAGCCTTGGTTACTGCATGAAGAGTTCAACATGTTGGAAGTAATCTAGTCACCAAAGAGATGTTTTCTAAATCATAAATAATTGAAACACGCTTTGTTTTGTAAATAAGGGTTACTTACATTAATTATATTGTTAACTTACATTATGTCATGTTATTTAAACCACTAGCTAGTACTTTTCTTGCCTCAACCTAAGCACTCATTTCCCAATGGTAACCAAGTGTTTCAGTAAAGGTGTGTTCTCAACAAACGCAACCTCAAATTATGTCTGCTGCCGAGAAATTATTTGTATTTTGTCACGGCTATAAATGCATTTTCTCTTCTAATACATGATTACTATCATTATATTAATATTGTTATTAGAATCTTTCATTTTCCTTTGGCAGCTCTGCTGAAGAAAGGTTTGGGAGCCATCTACTCAGATGGGCATACCTGCAGCACTTCTAACGCTTTGTTTCCCTCTCATGTGTGAGCGGATACACTCTACTGCTGGTAGCAGGGGGCGGAGGGGTGTCAAGAAGATTTGACCCAGGTCAGTGTTTCCTCCTTCTGCTCAAGACTAAATGATGGTCCCATTGACATTGGGGAGCTAATTAGCCGTTAGCAGCTGAACTTTTCAGCCCCAGTACTCACAGTGCCGAGGACGTCGGCTGCCTCTCTGATCTCTCATTAAAGATGGCGACCTCTCCTACACAACAAAGAGACACCACCGCTGACACGGAGCCAAGGAGCACATTGTTTCTCCCTGCAGGATAATTGGACTAGTAATTGTTTGTGAGTTCTTGAGTTTTCTACATTTCAGCTAAAGAGTCATGCTGAAGGAGGAGTTAGCTCCTGTCAGATCTTTGTGGCTACTTGATACAGACACAGCTTGCTCTTCACTCCCAGGAAAAATACTGACGTTTGGGTAGTAGCCCTAGGCGTCTTTGCACCAATGCAAAAAAGCACTTATTAGCATCTATATAAGACGGATAAAAGCTTTAAAAAAAAAGAAAAGAATCTATTGAGACACTCAGAGAAACTGGCATTGTATAAAGACTGAGAAAGTCATCCAAGGGCGGAAGGAGGTGGATCAAACGAACACAGGACTTTCATCCAACAGACTCACAGGTGTTTGTGCCCCATGTGAATCTTGAAGTAAATGTTGATGTCTCGTCAGGTAAATCTCAGGTCGCGTTACTCTTTTTTAATGGCTGGTCACATGATTCATTAATCACTCGGTAGTCATGTGAGTCGTAAGTCTGTCAAGTTAAAGTTAAGCACACTATTTTTCTAAACCTCTGTTGCCTTCACCTCACTCCCTCAGGAGACAAAACTTCTGATGATCTAAGCAACAAGTGGAACAAGACCCGCCATCCAAAACTGAAGCTAGAGGACTATCAAGCATCATATTTAAGAGATTGGGGCGTTGGATCAAGTACGGTATTTGACACGTTGGGAGGATTGTGTTGAAATGCATTCTTCAAATGACATTTTACTAATGTCAATATCAATGACATTTTACTAATGTGAACTGAACATGAAAGTACTTGTGTAAACTAAACTGCAGCCGTCTCAGAACTTGACATCTCTCAATGTCAATATTTCTCAAAGTTAACCCTGTGCAAATAAACTGTTTAGAGCAATGCAACCCTCAGGATAATGGCACTTTCTTTCCACAGCTAAGTATCAGACTTGCCTTGGTCTATGTGCAGGAGAGTGTCAGACTTCCTCTACATTTCTATTGTTGAATGAATGTTCTGATTGGGTAAAAAAAGTTTTATCAAAGACATTTTTGCATAGAGGGCTGTTTTTTGGCCTCTGCTCCCAAAATGGCGTAACCATGATGTAATAACACTAGAACTACTTTGTCTATCAGTGTTTTTCAGTTTTGAGAATTGCCAGAAAAAAATCACTGACAGCCATATAAGCCCTATAAAACATGGAGATACCAGGCTAAAACCAGTGTTTGGACAGTAATCATGGAAAGTTTCACGTACTACTCCAGTGCAGGCCTCACGTCAGAGAAACACCAGGAGTCCAGCTCTGGTTTGCCGTTCAAAGACTTTTTTTGATCATCTGATCCTGTTGGATCTGACTAACAACGAGCAAAAAATGACGCCGTCGAGAGTGGAACCCGCCCTAACCACCAAAACTTGCTTGTATTGCGCGTACAACGGCGCCTGCAGGTATCTCGCAAAAAAAAAGATGGATTAAGTTCATACTTTTGTGCAAATCGTCAAAAGGAGGGGCATTTATGAGTGTGTGCTTGTGTTGCTTGGTGGTTATTTTACTCTGGCTTCGGCAATGTTTGTCTGAGAGAAATGATGTTGCTGGACTCGGTGCGATTTGGTGTTTGGTTTCTTTGCTTCATCAGCACCGATATGTGCTAATTTTCTGGACTAATTCGTATAACATGTTTCACCTTGTTGGAGTTCTGTTTGGAGCATTTTTAAACAGGGGAGATTAGTGCCAAGACTCATTCAAACATTTGTTTGTGATGAGTACAGGATATTGCTGTTCTGGCTCGGTTCCGTAGCAAATTCGGAGATACTCAAGCGGAAATGTAATGATATCTAATTTTCATTTAGCGTCTCCAGTGGACCTTTTCACAGCAAACGTGTCATGGCCGGAAACGGGCCAGGACAGAGCCATTGTTAATGTTTTAGTAATATGGCTACAACTAGTAAAGTGGCAACGTCAGCTGTCAAAAAGGTCCATTTGCTTTTTCTCCTTCTTCCATTTTTCATTGCAGGTAATTTTTACTCCACAGGAAAGGAAATCTTTGTCATTGGGCTTCACATCATACTTTGGGTCACGTTAACCTGAAGCATGATGTTGCCATAGAGCCAGACACCTGAGCCCTGCTTGAATATTTTATACTTCTAAAATTCATTTTCAGACAATATCAGTTGATTATTTCTAACAATAAAGAAAATATCTGAATGTGATGTTCATGAGGCCAGATCGCTCTCAGTATGATTGAGTTGACATGGGGACATGGCAACAAACCACCATCCGTTTGTTCTGGTTCTTGGCTTATTTGAGGAAATTGCACGTTCTTGTTGTTCTTGTTTCTGAGTTTGTATCCCTATGGTTGAATGCACTTATTTTAAGTCGCTTTGGATGAAAGCGTCAGCTAAATGACATGTAATGTAATGTACCTGACTTATGATTTAAGAAATTTGCAAATTATGATACAAACGGGTTACTAATTTAAACATGAATGCTCTTTGGTACGCCTGTTCAACCATATATTTTCATGACCATATCAGTTTTGCTTTATAAAAAAATAAATTAAACCATTAATGAACTGTGGTCTGAACAAACAATGTCCCTTCGATTTGTTCGTTCATTGTAGCTGGTGACTCAAATTCATTATCTCCAGCCTGTCAGGAGTAGTATTCTCTGGAGCTTCTGTCAAGCTGTAACCGATTAAAAAATGTCATCACAGCAGCTGCTGGGTCATGACAAATAAAAAAAGAGAAAAAGACTGCCGTCGAGTGAATAAAGCCTTCACACTGGCAGGTAATTAAATGTATGCATGAGACTTACCTTCATGAATATAGACACTATGACCAATCCATTGGGGCTTTTAGCTGCTTCTGTATAATTTGTATACAGCTCATGATTGTAGTGGATCAGTTGAACCTGAAACATAGAGGAAGACAAATTATAACCTAAGTGCGGAAACAAACACACACTGTGACAGATGTTTGGCTATAATTTTAGTCTGAAACTGTGGCAAAAACACCCAATCATTATCAGCAGAATGTGAATGGGTTACAGTGTCTGAGGTTATGTTGACAGAAGACGGGGAGTGGAGCTCATGTCATGAGTGAGGGTTATTTTTCGTTTGAACTTTTTTACAGTAAATTCAGATTGCATAAGCTCAATAATAAAGGTCACATGCTGACCGTATTTATTTGGAGCATCTGGCCAGATCCGACACGTTGCACCTTAAACATTATGATAATGAGTGCAAAATAGTTGGAACAGCCCTCCTAGAGAAGCTTTATCCTGTTCATGTTTTTCTTACAGGGCGAGGTTGGAAAGCAACTAAAGCATGAGTCCCAGCATGAGGCGAATGTTCACTGAGGCAGATACTTCATCCACTTCATCCAGCTGTTCAATATTTCTGCCTTTTAATGATGTTTGGACGCGGGAAGGCTGTTCGGCACAACATCCAAGTCGTAAAAGAGGAAACTGCTGAAGGACGAACCCACAGTTTTAAAGCCTTTCTTTGAGAACCAGCCGATGAATAGAATGTTTAAAGCAAGAACATACGGATCCATCCCTAGATTTATTTTTATGTGAATATTTTATGCCTTTATCATTAAGTAAGTTAAAGGCTAAAAGGAAATGGGGCGAGGTGGATACTGGGAGTGTACTGGGACGTTGTGGTTCCTGGTCAGTTCTTTAACCCCCAGACCACTAGGGTGCTAATAGGCACTTTTTAAAAATGTCTTTAGTGAGAGCTGGCAATATTGGTATTGGTATCGGCAATGCTGGTTGGTTCAGCAAGACGGTGAGAGACGCTAAACGATTGTAAACTCTGAGAAACCTCAACAACAGTTCTCAGCCAGTGACTCTGCTTCTTTTGGAGGCTTTAAACACCTCACAAACTACAGGCCACCCCCCCGTCCATGAATGACCTCTGCCTGCCAGACGAGCTGAACGAGTTCTACTGCAGATTTGATAGTCAATGTCCTGACTCCATCCCCCACAGCTCCACCAACCTGTCTTGTCCCACCTGAAAACCCTCCTGGACCCCCTGCAGTTCGCCTACAGAGCCAGAAGGTCTGTAGGCGATGCTGTCAACATGGCCCTCCACTTTACATTACAGGTCATTTAGCTGATTCTTTTACCCAAAGCGACGTACAATAAGTGCCTTTCAACCATAAGGATACAAACTCCAAAGAACAAGAAACAGGAAACGTCCCGCCACACTAACAGTATCTTTCTGTCGGCAGTCGGGCTCATCAACAGAGCCCAGGTCCCCCACTGACTGACTCTGACATCCCACCCATTATTTTTAACTTCTTGACATGGACTAAGGAGGATATGGGACGAACCGCTGACCCACTAATCTTAGGACGGACTGCTTTACAACTGAGCCACATTTTGGTTACAAAGCTTCTAATGTATTTCCTTTCAGGCTGTGATATTTCTATATTCTAAAAACAGTGAACAGAATAAATTCTATGAACATAAAGGTAAAGTAATATGTTTTGTCCCAGGCTCTTACACTTCCTACCTTTTATATACATCTCATACTTCCTTGTTTACGAAGTGCTTTGCAATGCATACTGCATGCATACTGTACTGGAGGGTAGAAATACACAAATGTAAGAAGAGAATAATTATGAAAAAGCCCGATTGGGGAGCACAGAGTGACTGAACGTCTATAAATGCAATCGAGTGGAGGAGGGAAGTAATTAAAGCCCTACGTTGATCTGATTAGATTTCTTAGGTGAGAGTGGCAGAGGCAACCAAAATAACTCATCTGCACTTCGTCAATAACAAATAGCACACATTTGGCTGCTAGTGGGCAATAAAGAAGGCCTGCCAGAGTGAACCATACTAAAGTGAAACTGTTTGCCAAATAGCAACGGGGAAAAAGAGCAAGATGCCGAGCACAAGAGTGGACATCAAGGTTGTAATAAGATACAGAAATGTTGAAGAAACAGAAGTGATGAATGTTGATCGGGCTTGTGAGCCTGCAGCACCACGTCCAGCACTGACTCACACTAATTACTGGGTACAGTTCTACATTCCAACGCAGTGGTTTCTGACGTTTTCTGTTATGGCCTCAGGGTACATGCATCTTTAGGCCTCTTTTGAAAGGTATTTTGAAATTGTTTGCATCAATCAAATCACAAGCGAGATATGTCGCATCGGTCCTGGTGTGTTTGTTTCCCTTTTTTATTTTGTATTTGCATGAATCTTGGTACCTTGGTTAACTTCACTTCCTGCCCTGGTGTCTTTTCTTCGCCTTCTGTGACTGTGTGTCCTGTCCCTGTTTTTTTCTGCTGTGTCCAATCACCTGCACCTCCCCACTGTATTTTAACCATGTGTGTCCCTGGTCTTCTTGCCGATTGGTCAGTCATTTTCGATGGGTCTTTTGGTTGTCTGTATTATTGGTAGCTGTTTACTTGAAATCTGCATTTGATTTTATGTCCTTTTTTCGTTTTTGTCGTCTTTTTACATCGAGTACGTTCTTCCCATCGCCGTCTCCAACGTCTCACCATCGATTCTTTAATGGCAAGTTTACGTGGAGCCGCTGTGTTTCCTTCTCCGAGAGCCAGATTGGTTGGATGTAACTTGAATGCTACATCATATGCATTCCTACGTGTTTGAATATGACGCGCAAAATGGCTGTTCGAAACACAATCAAACTTCAGTCTTCCTCGGCGCTCAGCCCGTAAAAATGATTCATTAGCCGCACCGTTGTGTAAGCTGCAGGGTGCAAAGCGTGGGAAAAAAGTAGCGGCAGAATTTACTGTAGCTTGGTAGTTTGTGCCAATGGATGGATACATTTTTGTCTAGGGCTCTGGCTGTGTTTATACGAAACAAGTTATAAGTAAAAAACATTTTCTCAGACGTTTTATTACCTCAGCAAACAATGTAAACACGTGTAAGATTTTTCCATTCTGAGGGCGGGAGTGTGTGAGTGGAGGTTGTCAAAACTGCCTTCATGTCATGACGGCTGGCGTCGCCTCTGTTCTTTCAGCAATTGTATCAAATTTATTTATTTCCCTAATTATTCCACATTTATTTCAGCTTTTCTCATTTCTGTATTTTCAGCGTTTTTTGAAATTTGTTTCAGCTTTTTAGCTTGCAACTTTAAAACTTTCCCAGTTGAGCCAGTTGAAACAGTGTCCATGTATCCATTGTCTGTGTTTACACTCACCCAAGCTACTGTGGCGATCGGAAATAATCCGACATTTCCTTGACTTCCTTCCTTCAGGTATATTTCAGCGCATTTGTCTTGGTCAGACATGCTGAAATCGAAGATCCAGCCCCATTAGTACTGCCCAGGTTTACATGAGGGAAAAACCTGATGTTAATAGCGATTTAAAGATAATTAGGGGCTGGGGGGTTAATAAAACAGAACAAGCTACTCCATCAAAAAGCTTTGTGAGCGATGATCAACCTCAATGATCTTAGCTCGATGTGATTTTCCCTGCATGTGACAAGGTGATTGGTCTGATTGACGGGGGTTTCAAATGTTTGCGACAGGTGCTTATGGCGAATCCCTCTAAAACACCATTGGTATTAAATATAGCCGGATTCTCTTTTCAGCAGCAAGCAGAGTCTCCTTCAGTTTGCGGGGGCAAACTGTTCAATTTATTTGCCGTAATCCCATTTGTTTTGTCCATCATCATGTTGTTTCATCAGATGATCCAGATAATGGGTGATAATTGGTAAATAAAAGGTCATTAAGGGAACAGCTGCTCAACGGTGTTTGCTTTTCAATCATGTCCTGGACTGTGTAGTTTGAGCAGATGTTGGTGGAAAGTGAATGAAAATGAAAGAATAGAATATATACCATCGTAGGGCAGTAAACGGAATGTTTTGTACAGGTCAAACCGGACTGTATAAATTAAAGAGTGCTTTTCAAAAGCAGTTACCTGAGCTTGTTTTCCGTCTGCAGTAATGATGGCTGAGTGTGTAAAAAACCGAGGAAGGAATACTATTTGGAATATTTTAGCACTTAAATTAACTGGTGTTTGATTTTCAGATTTGACTGTGAAAAAGTTCCAGGGGAGACAGCATAAATTAACTCCCAGGTACAAGACTGTTTTGTAATGTAACAGGCAGCCAGCACACATCACATTCAACTCAAACATGGCAGCTTGTCTAAAAGCTTTTATTTTGAAGCAACAAAATCAATAACTAGAAAGGACTCCAGCAGCTCTCAACTTGCTCCTATGCGCCGTTTCTTCTTCTCTTCCCCTTGGCCTCCTCAGGAGAGGAACCTCGTTTGGCAGGCGGATGAAGATGATAATCATGTTCTAGATTGGTCCCAAATACTCCACGTACATACTGTGTGTGACGTTGCGTTTGCACAAATTAAGGCCCATATTCCCATTTGATAGCAACCCTTTAAAAAAGGGCCGTCACCCTCTAACCCATCGTTGATTCAATGAAGACGGCATAGAAGGCGCATTAAAAAGAGAGACGCTGTGAAAGTGGTTTCTCGCGTTGGCTGAAAAGGGAAAAATTGTTCAGCTTTCATAAGGCATGTCAAGTGATGAGGAACAACCAGCGGATATCCTCTTTATGGATTTACAGTTTTGGAAATCCATTCATCTATTTGTTTGTTTCCATTCATCTATTTGTTTGAAGCTTACTGTCAAATTACCGCAACTTCATCGTCATCACTCCTGTGCAAAATGTTTTGGTTGCTTAGTAACGGCGGGAAAAAAAGGATTGGATGAGGCACTGAGTAACATTGATGCACTGGCTAAACCTAACAAAGTATATATATATATATCCATCCATCCATCTTCAACCGACTATCCGGGGTCGGGTCGCGGGGGCAACAGCTCCAGCAGGGGACGGCAAACTTCCCTTTCCCGGGCCACATCTACCAGCTCTGACTGGGGGATCCCAAGGCGTTCCCAGGCCAGTGCAGAGATATAATCTCTCCACCTAGTCCCGGGTCTTCCCCGGGGCCTCTTCCCAGCTGGCCGTGCCTGGAACACCTCCCTAGGGAGGCGCCCAGGGGGCATCCTCACCAGATGCCCAAACCACCTCAACTGGCTCCTTTCGACGCAAAGGAGCAGCGGCTCTACTCCGAGCTCCTCGCGAACGGCTGAGCTTCTCACCCTATCCCTTAGGGAGACGCCAGCCACTCTCCTGAGGAAACCCATTTCGGCCGCTTGTACCCGGGACCTAGTTCTTTCGGTCATGACCCATCCTTCATGACCATAGGTGAGGGTAGGAACGAAGATTGACCGGTAGATCGAGAGCTTTGCCTTCCGGCTCAGCTCTCTTTTCGTCACAACGGTGCGGTAAAGCGAGTGCAATACCGCCCCCGGTGCTCCGATTCTCCGGCCAAACTCACACTCTATCTTCCCCTCACTCGTGAACAAGACCCCGAGGTACTTGAACTCCTTCACTTGGGGTAAGGACACATTCCCTACCTGGAGTAGGCAATCCATGGGTTTCCTGCTGAGAACCATGGCCTCAGATTTAGAGGTGCTATCCTCATCCCGACCTTCGCAGTCGAGTGTGAAGCGGTATATATATATATATATATATATATATTAGATATAGATAGGGTCAATTGATGTGAAACGTACATTGGTGATGCATTTCATTTCATGGCTTTTATTGACGTATTTTGATATTTTACTACCGTGGAAAGTTGTGTGCAATAAAATATAATTGAACACACAAAAATGAGTGTGATGACATAAAACTGTGATTTAAAAGCCAACACTTTGGAGAACTAAGTCTCACACACATGAACATCCTCCCACACGCTGCCATTTCACAAGGATGCTTTTGCTTTAAAAAAGTTGTAATATTTTCTCTTTGTTCACGTTTCAAGGACATGCACAGCCACCACTCATCGGGCAGACGGGGGCGGGAGGGAGCTATTGAAAAACAGGGAAATAGAGATATTTTTTTCCCCCTATTTCTGATTATAAAACATCTTATTGGACCTTGAGTGCGCTGCTTATGCTCCAAAAAAAAAAAAAAAGTGGCGTGTTTTCTAGTTGTTGTTCACTCAGAGTTATTATTATTTTTTTGAGTGAGGAGAACGAGGCAAAATGCTATTTGCCTCGATGGAATGTTCTTAAAAAAACAACAACAACACATCTGTTGCGGCCTTTTGCTGGTCTAGTTCTTCCCTGTGGTTTGGTAACTCTGGCATAGATACAGCTATCTGTCCATCAGAGTGGATCTACCCACAAAATGGCATCTATCACCAACTCCCCACAGTGAGTTGTTGGACCTCATGCCGTCAATCAAGTGTGTGGATTTGTTTGGATGGTTGGGAAGTAGACAGTGACAATGTGCAATAGACGTTTAAGATTTCTGTGTCACACCTGCACTGTGACCCTGACACTTTATGTACTGGATGAAGACATGAGAAGAGCTGCCGATATACCGGAGGGGGGGCTTCCAATTCGTTCCTCTTCGTCTATGTATGTCAAATAGTGTCTCTACATAGGACATCAGCTATCATCAGGAGTGTACATTGTAGAATAAAAGGTGAGGAGCTTGGTAAATGTATGAAATGACATTTCATACATCAGCTTCTCTACTTGACTCCTCCAACGCAGTGTTCATCCGCAGGCAAATCCAATACAAAGAGGAGAAGCCTCGTACATCAGGCTTGGGGTCACAGCGCTCTCCCCCCCCAAAGGACACAATAAACATTTGCTTTATTATGATTTGGATATCAGCTCCCGGACTTTGAGGGAGGACAAATGATTACCATTAATTATAATAAATTTGCCTGCCATGACTGCAATTATTTCGTTGCCACACAAATTGGCATTAATTTGATGGCGCGGGTGGAATGCAGCGGCCTGAGCTGAGCACTCAAAGCCGGGGGAAGCTAATTGTTTTACTTCTCAAAATTGTGTGTATGTGTGCGTGCGTGTGTAGGGCCGGAGCTTGTATGCGTGTGGGATGACACTAAACTGTCATCCCAGACAAGCTTCCACCGTCATGTGAGAAAAACAAGAAAAGAGTGGTGGACTTTGTGGCTACTTCAGGCGCAGAGACCCTTTCTTCCGTTGAATTAATTTCCGAAATACAAGGTAGAGAAGCTGAAATCAAAAACTGAAGATTCAGTTTCCATCCTTTTGGGACCGATGCTTTTGAAAAAAGAACGCAACGGTTTGATTTAAATTATTCAAGTGTAAGATATACAAAGTTAGACTGGTAGAATTGAAAAATAAAGCTACTAAAAAAACTATTATCATTTCGGCATCTCATATTTCTTTAACCAGACTTTTCAAAGGATTCTTCATCTGTATGTGGAACAATATTAGCTGATCTTGTATATTTATTTGATATTATTGAATGTAGGACATTCCGCCATGTAACATGCTACCCAGTACTTTCTCTTTTTGTCACAGCATAGCCAACACATACGCTTCAAAACTCAAAACTTCAAGACCTTTACACGACCTAAACGCCCCGCGTGCCCTTCAAGCGTCAGTTTTGGTCACGGTATTAATTCTTACTTGTTACATGCTGTTTTCTCTAAATTGGGTAAAGGTCCTGTGACTGTTACTAGTCTAACATCAACAGTTGTCTGGGTAAATAATCCATTGAGCTGTTATTGAAAGCGCCACTAAACAATATTGGACGTCAAAAATGTGAATAATACAAGACTGTGAGTATTAGGGAGTCTTGTGCTGACGGCTCGCCGCTAACGTTGCTAACAGCGCTAACTGTACGACGTACGGCAAACGTGTTGGCAGAGCCGGGGGTGTTTCTCACAGGACTGCCTTTTAGCATCAACCGGGGGACACTTGTGTCCCACAACCGGAACATTTTAGTGGTTTAATCAAGCTGAAAGCGAAAAAGTCAGAGAAGGCCACTGTACACCCCCCATGCGGCTACGCTACCTGAGAAGGGACCAGCAATTCAACCTCGATGGTTACGTTTCGGACCTGCAGGGAATTTAAGTAGACCATTTTGTGCTAACACATTAGCAATTTTATGAGGTGATAATTTGCTATCCTAACTTGTTCAACTGCACTGAATTGCCACTTGCTGCCACTTTATACATCTTAATGTTCATTGTTATAGTAATCTAATCAAAATGAATTGATTATCTGCAGTTCACACGGGTCACATGGTTCAAGCCCTGCAATGCTGTCTGGAACAAATAGTCATTTCATTGCATGTTTTCTTCCTTGGCTGAGTATTGTGTTGTTGACACAAAGTGCACACACCTCTCCGGAGAAGGCCTGTCCGTTCAGCAGGTGTTCGGAGCCTTGGCCGTCCTCGCTGCCAAAGTGTAGCCGGATCTCCTCCAGGCGGTGGCTGTACGTCATTGGTCCCCCGGAGATGTTCACCAGATGCTCCTTGTCCAATCGCAGGGAGACGTGGCGGCCCGTGTTGTACATGGTCCCTCCCACCTGGAGAAAGGGTAAGACAAGAAACCATGAATTCTCTGTTTGACCTGACCATGCAATGAATCGTCTAGTTGTGATAAAAAAAAACAAGCAAAAAACCTTGAAGTCGTATTAAGTTATGTGAGCTTCAGTTTGATAATAAGGAGATGCTGTTGTCTCGCAGTGTGGACAGCTCAGGGTTTCTTTCCGCTGAGGCCTGTATTATCATCAGTGCAGCTTATGCAGGATCAGTCCTGAGGGCTTTATTTAATTAGGCAGCAATCTGAGCTGGAGGGGGAGGCGATATTGTTAACCGCAACAAGGCTTCGACAAACAACGCAAACAAGAGTGGAGCCTCCGGTGAAATGAAAGCACACGTAGAACCGGGAAAAATACAACCTTGTTTTTAGGGGAAAACACAGGATCCTCGCGTAACGATTGGTATTGGTACCTCTGTTTATTAATTTATAATGGCGAGGCGTTGATATTCAAGCCATGGCTTTCTTTTCTCCCCTCTCCCTGCTTCTCTTTTACCACTCACTTTGAAAACGATCTCACCTCCCCCCCCAATTCCCAGAGAAAGAAGTCTGCCAACATATTTTAAATATTTTATAGAAGCTGTGAGGGGGAAATAAATCAATGATTTGAAAGGAGAAAGAGAGAAGAACAGAGAGCCATGCAAGGAGGAGAAAAGTATGGAGGAGCAGTCGTAGGAAAGGTAGCAAGGGGGAAGTCTTTAAGGTTTCCTGGCAAAAACGACGAGAGGGAGGTGAGACCCCTGAGAGGGCCATGAAAAAAAATCTCGTCGCCCTCAAGACCTCTGGAGCCTATTATTCATGAGCAAGAAATGATGAGAGGTCTGTGGACTCTCCAAAAATATCAAAAACGAGGGAAAGTCCAACACGGTGGTAATAAAGCACAGGGAGATAATTCAAGCTAAAATGTGAGACGATAGAAAGAGGATGACACCTCATTACCCAAAGTACGTGTTGAAGCCATTGGTAATTATCTCCTTCCATTGGCTCTACCAGTCAAAGGTGTGTTTAATTAATGAGCAAACACAAACGTCCACCTCGGTCAAAGGCTGGAAGTCAAGGAGACTCTGTTTCTGGACCAGGACAGCAAACCATAATCCTTCTTTCAACCTTCATGTAGGCAGTTCAGTCCTGACATACATAAGAATTTCAACAGAATAGCTCACTAACAATTGACCTTGGACGGACGTTGCTCCGTGTCAACACGATCCTTATTCCTCGAGGAATCCTGCAAAAACACGACCAGTTGATTGTCTGTGTCAAACCAGTTTCACATTTTGCTCCACGTTGCTCCAAGTCACATGTAGTTCTGCCCAGGGCTTGAGTCACGCTACAAACATAATTATCTCGAGCCAAACCACAATGTTTTATTTGAACCTTTACCAATTATTTATGTTGGCTCGAACATACAGCAGCACTTTTTTACAAACGCAAAACCAGACGGTTGAGCCAGAGGCTTCCTTCACAAACGGGGAAATATGACCACTCTTAATGAGATAATGTTTTGCCGGTACAATTACCGCAATATATTTTGCTTCCACCCGCAAAGTTGCAATAAAAAATAAATAAAAGTATTCATCTAACCCCGGATTTGTAAGGAATTTAAGGTTGCTTTGTTGTCCCTTCCACCCACCAGACCTCAAGCTGTGCTAACAACACTGCGCATGCTATCTACATCTACAAAGACCCTCAAGGACTCAATGCCAATATGAATATTGTATCACTTCTGGTCTTGTTCCACGTAGATAAGAGTCCTAAACAACGGCTACCACTGGTCCTTATTACAGGTCTTACTCTCTGCTGCCTGCACTCTTCTTATGTCTGAATCCAAATCCAATCACATATCGTCATCATCGTTGTGGAGGACTAATCTCTCTAAAGGGGCCCAGTAACTGAAAAACAGAGCAACCAACACAATTATACTAAAGCATGTGGATGCTTGTGCCACACAGAAAGAAAATACCCTCAAACTATTGTATAATATTAGACACATTAAACAGTGTGGGGTTGTTCTAATGATTAGTGTTACAATTGTAGTCGGTGTGTTATTAGATAAGTATGTTAGATTAATAACTGCAATATTAATTAAGCACAAACTATATTTATACAAGTGATTTAATTGCGGCACACATGACATCCTGCAGGAATGTAACGTTAAAGCCTGGGGGCCTTAATCCCTCCTGGATGGATTTCCCCCAATCCATTAAGCTGAAAAGTAGCCTGCGAGCCGGAAAAGTGTGGGCACCCCTGCTTTAGGTCAGAGATGTGATCATTGAATGCATTTAAATATGAAGTCAATCGGGATCGGTCAGGTCAGTTCAGATCCCCCCCCCCATGATACATACAAGCCTCCTGTGAACCATCACTTCTATCTATCTCACAAACTATTAAACTGTATTTCACTTTGTAATTATATTGCTTCTGTTAGTTATTAAATTCGTTATCATTTTTAAACTTGAGCCGATTGACTCTTTTTAACTTGACCAGTAACAGTTACTTGAACAGTAACAGCAGCATTCCTCGGTCTGAAGTTCAGAACCCCCCCTCGCCCCCCGAGCCAGTATCTGTTGCTCGGGTGGATTTGCCCATGAGGTGTGGCCATGGAGCGACTGCAGCGAGAGTTTGTGTACTGTAAAGAGGTTCCTGCTCTAATTGGTGCAGCTTCCATCTCCCGGGGTCGATACAATCCGAGGCCGGCAACAACAAGGAGTGGACTTCAGAGTAGAAGCGCTGCTGCTGATAATGTTTCTACACAATAAAGATGCTGCAAGTGATGCAATCTTAGAAATGCAAATGATCGACTAAAAATGGGGATTTTAAGAGGAAAAGAAAACTCTGCCCAGAGCACAAAAAGCACTTCACAACGTTATTAAAATCATTCATATTCCATGGGAAATGGAGGCTTATCTGAGTCCGGGTTTGACAGAGTTCATGCTTGGTTACGCTCAGCCGGCTGGTGGGAGCCAGACTTGAAGAATAAATGGATGCACAGTTGAACAAAACGCATTTACTTCATGCGTCCGGTTTCAGACGCAGGACTTTAATGGGCAAAGTCAACGCAGAGTGATGCTGCAGACAAAGCAAAGCCGCTATATTACAATCCCTCTTTCTCATTAGTCTCCACTCTCGTGTTTAGTGTTGAAGTAATTATCATTGCAGGGTTCACATTTTCACTCCCAGGGCTGAATGTATTACAGAAAAAGGCTGAATTGTGCTGTATTCATGGACACGGATAAGCGCTGGACTATAATGCAATACTTGTGTATTAGGCTGTGATGAACACGACGATGAACAAAAACAGAGTCTCACCTCTCAGCGTCACACTATTACACTCATAATACAGTACAGGCTTTCACACTAATGGAAATGCCTCCCTGTCGACAGTGTCGCCACATACAAACTCATGACAATAATGCTTCACATGAATATTTATATGGCCTGAAATGCAAACCATTTGGGTTTTTTGAGCTTTGTAAAAGAGCTCCTTTGTTGTACAAAAACTATTAAAAAGACATAAATGAGCCTCTCTTTGTTATTTTGAGACTTGGCCACACACACACCACCCATCCAGCCTAAAACGGATTGATGCAGCTAAAAAAGTACAACTTGTGAGTCTAATCGCCTTAAACCCTTGTGAATAGGGATGGTTAGAATTCAATTATACTGTCTTATGGAAACCGTTAATGGGTTCCATACTCTCATCAGTTGTTATTGATTATATTGAGAGAAAAAAAGAGCTATTTATTAAGAAAATGATTAACATTGGTTCACCAACACAAGAAGTTCCAACGTCTTTCAAATGCATTCACAGCTAAACAATTAGTTGAGTGATTAGTTGAATATTATATTCCGTACTGTCCCATTCGAGATGCCACAATTGATTTTGCTTTAATGACAATTAACACGGCTGGAAAGTTGTCGCTCGTAGCCTCTTTTTGAGACAGTTGATCGACAACTACAATGATCACGACACTTTTATCAATTTGTTAGTTTGATAACTTCAACTCAATATAGTTGTCAAAGTAGGTCCAATTCAGCTTTGATAAGCATGATACTACTACTACTAATAATAATAATAATAATAATGTGACTGGGAGCCAGAACGACCAACACCAGGACCCTGGAACTCAACAACTTTTAATGCTGCTGATTGGTAAAAAAAAATATAGTATGTACATGAAATGTTTTATTTTTTCAAATCGACCTACTTAGAATGAGTTTTTTTCCCAGTGAGTTAATAGGATTGTCAGGTGCACTCCAGGCCGCTTCTCACACATAGAATGTGTCTCTGTTAGAGGTCCTGCTATTGTTAAAGAGGCTCTAATTAACATTCACAGCGTGTAGCAGCAAACAACTATTGGCTATGTGAAGATACAGTGCAGCTCCGTCCCGGCCTACAGATACCAACAGCCCAGTGCTCCCCTGGGTACAAGACAGTCTCCATTTCACAACCAGAACCCAGAGTTTGGTGATCTTTTCAGCTGGTGCAAAGACAAACAAAGGCGGGGGGTTTTTCAGTTAGATTTTGTGCCCGTTGAGTTTAATCAGCGACCTTCTGGAATAAATTCTGATGAACCATTTACCACAAAAGACAGAGGCCACAGGTTAGTGGGTGTTAATGTAAAAGACCACGTGCCCGGTGTCTTGTGTCTTATGCCCCCGCTGTGTTTCCCCACAGCTCTCGTGTTGTTAAAGAAGCACAATCTTTTTCATTTCTTTCCGAGAAGCTTCCAGGAGCGATGGAGCATAAAAGGAGGAGAAAGCAAACGAGTCATAAAGGAGCTTGTTGACCGTCTGGGGCAGATTGGGCGGTTAGCAGGCAGCTACGCTATTAGAAATCACAAGGAACACCGTCATTATCTGAGAACACGGATCCGCCGAGTGAATTACCCCTTCTCACAGGAACAACTCCTCGCTGTGTACGTACCTTTTTAATATCAGGAGTAGTGTACGTCCCACCAAGCGGGGCAAAATGGATGTTGTACGATG